ACTGAGGATAAGAGGGGGACTATGATATTAAAAGCAAGATAAAAAAATCTATTTTTCAATAGTTATTATAAATAAAAGTAACTAAAAAAATCACATCTCCAGTTCAAATCATAAAAAATATGGATCCTTTATCACATCAGGTTTTAGTTATGGATGAAAGCTGAAATCATTGTCTGCAGTTAATCCATAAAGAAAATTTCTACATTTTCATTCAAGTACATTTTCATTCAAATGTTTATAATTGGTATATACCTTTTATAACCTTTTTATTAAAATGGCATATAAAAGAGACATAAATCTTTTTTATTTAACCTGAAATAAAATCTTAACAAGAAAAGACAATAAGTTTAATAAGCAACATTTCTACTGCAGAATGCCTTTTACCACACTCTCAAGCTAACAGGACTATCCTCTTGTCACTACCTAGTCAGGCCCAACTGATGTCTCAGATTAATTTGATCTTTTCTTTTTTCTAATTACCCGTTAATTCTTAATAGAAAACAATCTGATGAGTTAACTTTTTCTAATAAAATTGGCTGTTTTACACAGAGTGGGGCAAATAAATGATCATTTATTAATTATTGTATTATTTCCATACAAACAACTGTAAACCTACTTTGCCCCACCCTGTATATTATATTGATTACAATAAGAAAATGTTTTTCTGTACTAGCACTTTCAAGTTCTGGGAGACTCCTGGAATAATTACAGTGCAGTCAAGAGTCAATTAAGAGCAGGTCAAGAACCATCTGATTAAATATGAATTTCTATCCTCTTACTGTAATAAACAATAGAATTATAGGATTGAAGAAAAATCATGAAAGTGGAGTTTAGGAACAGACACAAAAACAAATGGTAGCAAACCAGAGATGGATCCTAGAAGCAAGAAGTTGGGATGAACTAGGTATGACTTTTGTCATATATTTAAACTTCATTTTCATAATTATTTCCATAACAGTATTTTTAATTTACTAGATATGGATCAATAGAAATTAATAATACTAAACAAGAACCCAACAGCTTATTTTTAATGTTAAGTATTTTCAAAAAATCCTTCTCAATAAGGTATTTTTATACATTTCATCAGGTAAGAGTTAATAGCCTAACTACCTTACTAACATAGACCCTAGGAAAAGAAATAAATCAGGCCTATGGCAATTTAGAAATATTCCATAAAGTCAAGTAAGATACTGCTACTATTTTTAGGATTTCCATTTGTGAGCTATAAAATATAATTATGCATGGTACCATATCAAATAGATGGATTATAATAAAAAAGTTTATTTTACCCTCATTGTAATATTTCATATTTTCTTTTTAAAAATACCAATCTTAAATGTTTAATTAATATTGGTATTTAGTTCTTACTTAACCAGTTCTTTAATTTGATCCATCATGTAACCTAACTCATGCTATTAAAAGCATTTTAAAATTTTAATCCATTTTTTATTACTCAATTTTTCCAATTTGCTTATTTTTCCTGTGTTATCTGATTGATCTTATCTTACATTTCTATATTTCTAGAATGACCTCTTGGTTAATCTTATTTGTATAGTTCCTCACAGTTTAATTTTCATCTCAGTTTTTTATATGGTACACAATATATACCATAATCAATATTTCTCAATATAGAAAGTGTAAGGAATGTTAACTTTTTCTCTGTAGTTGAACTTTTTCTCTAAGTACCCCGAAGAAGAATACTACCCTTCAAATCTGAACACCCTAACTGTACACAATCTTATTTCTTTAACATACACAAACTATCTTCTTTAAAGGTAGGGAAATGCAAAAATAGAATTAAAAAGTGAATACTAGTAGCATATACTTTTGTCCAAGATTTTTTTGCAAATTATTTTTAAAATAATTGTAGTAGTATCTTTTATTTACTAATTTTAGTAGAAGTTTTTTTTTAGGTTTCTGTAGGTTTTTTTTCTTTTTTTAAATATATTTTATTGATTATGCTATTACCGTTGTCCCATTTTCCACCTTCACTCCCCTCCACCCTGCCCACCCCTAGCTTCATGTATAATTATGGCTTCATCAGAAATATGATTTTAATGGCTATGTTTGATTGCATTAAATAGCTAGACCCCTTCTTTTTCCATTGTCAGATAATCATCACATTAAATTTAAAAAGCAGTAGCAGAACTATGTATGGCAACCTAGTTAACTAGCTTTATTGTGGTGTGGTGACCAGTTCCCAATATATATAAATATCTAATCATTACATTGTATACCTTAAATTAACACAATGTTATATGTCAACTATACCTCAATTTAAAAAAACTAATTTCCTATCTTAAAAAAAAAAAAGGGAGTAGCAGGAAGAACCATATCCAGCACTGAAATGCAGGATATTTAATTAAATGGTAGAGAGACTTTAAATCTGTTTTAAAGCTTAATAACACCCAATTACTGGTTTCCCTACCTTATTTTCCTAAAGAAAGAACTTAAATTTGGAAAAAGTATGCACTATATAGATGGTTATTGCTTAAAATGTTTTAATTCAGCTAACATTTATGGAGACCTTACTATGTGCTAGGTTAAATGCTTTACATGAATTTGCCCCAACAACAACCTATAATGAAGATACTATTTATGCTCCCATTTAAGGATGAGAAGATTGAAGCACAAAAAAGATAAATAAAATGACTAAGCTGAGGGCACACACAAATGTTAGAACAAGGATTTGAACCCAAATCTGACTGCATGGCTACAATTTCAACACAGATTAGAAATTATACTATACACTAGAAGCAGTAGCCTCCTACTCCCCCTTGAAAAGAGAGAAGGGGAATCCTGACTGGTGTAGCTCAGTGGATTGAGTGCGGGCCTGTGAACCAAAGGGTCACCAGTTCTATTCCCAGTGTAAGGCACATGGCTGTTGCAGGCCAGGTTCCCAGTAAGGAGCATGTGAAGAGCAACCACACATTAATGTTTCTCTCCCTCTCTTCTCCTCTCTAAAAATAAATAAATAGAATCTAAAAAGTAAAAAATTAATATAAGAAATGTCACTATAATACAGAAGTATTTATGTATGTCATGACATGATGTCTGATATTTGTTGTAAAATAATACAGCTTGGGGAAGGGGAGAAGAAAATAGGAACAAAATTAAACATCCATAGATAATTGTTAAAGCTTGATGATGGGTACATGGGGATCCATTATTTTATTATCTCTATTTTTACATATTCTTTAAAATGTCCATAATAAAAGGGCATTTAAAAATGTTTTTAAAAAGTTAAGAATATTTTAAAAACATTGAAAAAATTGGTTGCATAGATTAAATACTTTCATTACAGAAGCAAACTTTCTTATGATATCCTGTATCAAAGATATAAAAGTATATGACTTACTTGATACTTATGTATTTTATATATCACCTTACACATTTTATATATCATCTATAAAACGGTGACCTTACTTTAAATATTTGAGTATCTTCTTAACCAAAGTGAAAAATTAATAGAAATATTTAGGCACAAACAATAAGTGGTTTTCTACATTTCCATCAACTTGTTAAAAATATTTGCTTAAACAATTAACACTTTTTTTCATCTTTCTCCAGCCTCTGGTTTTTTTGACCAGAGAATGGATGGATTTGTACACACAAATATGACTCCACAACATGGTCACAAATTGAAAATCATGAATAAAAGTCAGATATCTACTTCACTAAGACACACTTCTACTACTTTCTCATCTAAGATTGTAGCTGATTTTTCCACTAATGTATATCTATAGCCTTCTTGTAAATATAATCAATAATTTGAGAAACTCTTATATTCTCTATAGTTAAAACAATTCAGCTGATAGTAAAAGAAAACATTTATTAAGCCAGGCATTTTTACCACATTAGCTCACTAAATTTAAGTGGTTATATATATTTTTATAGAAATATTAAAGTTTAAAGAGGCAAAATTATTTGCCAAGGTCACAGAGCTAATAAGTAGCTAAACTGGTGCTCAAATTTAAGCTCAATTACAAAACCCACATTTTTCTCCACTATACCAAACTACTTTATAGAAAGCAAATACCTACACTCACAAACAAATATTTAGGGCCTTTTTTAAGTGGATAACAAAATATTTAAAAATCTGAGCCTCACCCCTTCCCCCTCCACAGGGCACTGGTTACCTATATATTTTACAGTGGTAGCTTGGCTTTAAGTCAAGAGCACCAACTAAAACACAAAAAGCATTGTTTCTGCTACTGTGACTCCGCCCCGCCACGTCTCTTAATTTCAACCTCAGGTTACCCATCTTTACAATGGGGAAATGAATATCCTTGCTGTCCAATTCCAGGATTGTAAGATTCAAGAATAATCTATGTGAAATCACTTCAAAATTATAAAAACAAGAGATATTTTGTCTTAAAATGCTAAAAGAAACAACATGAAATAAAGTTTTCTGAAGTAATCAAATTGTCTGAATTATTCCACATACTCTATTAACATTTCCAGAACTTTCTGAAACCTTTTTCTAAGCATAGCTCAATCGTCATCTCTATTACTTGGCTTTCCTTATCTTTAAAAACAATGCAAGAGTAATGACATCAATGCCTTTGTAATAAATAATTAATATATCATTTTGTAATGCTTAGCATACAAAAGTTGTGAATTTTCAAACTAAATATGTGTTTGGTGTCACACTTTTAGTTATATTTATGGTCTTGTTTGAGCCCTTTCATATTCAGTTTGTTTGTTAAAATCCGGAATTCCAAGGAAGAATACTCAACATACAATTTTTAATGATGGGGGGGGGGAATAAGCGGGGGGACTCAAGGCTTCTCAAAGCAGATACAATAACTAACAAGCACATCAAACACAGCAACAAAATCCACTGAAACATTCAGCTGCTCTAAAAGAAGGATCAGGCTCTTTAGGGGAAAACTACATTGTATGAGTTTGCAAAGTTTCACACTTTCTCATTTAAACTCCATTTCAGAGAAAGCCTTTGCATACTCACACAATATGCTTTAAAATGGCACTCTGCTGACCTTCCAATAGTCCAGCTCTATGAAAATTCTGTGATGGGTGTAACTTCAGAGAATCTGAAAAACACAAAAAGCATTAAGTACTTTTTATGCTGAATGACTTTTTTTTAAGCCAAGGATAGCATTCATCTCTTACATAACTGTCATGTATTTTTAAGAGCTAAAGCCCATATTTGTGAGTATATTCTTTGCGAAAGAAGGTTGAATTGCCTCTACAATGGTCTCTATGCTAAACTTAGATTTTCATAAAGCATTTGTTTCATGGAAAATTATCTCATGATTACTGCACAAATGGTGTTAATGTCTTGACTATTTTTAGTACCCAATTGTACCACATTTGCCTCCTCTAAGAATCATCTCTTGACACCGACTTCTGACTCTCAGAGCTACAATATTTCCTAACTACTTCAGGTAACATTGCCCAAAACATCTTACAGGATGGTGGCTGCCAACTAAAGTCATCAGAGCAACAGACAATGGCTACAGTTACTAACTAGGACTCTGTGTACAAACTCAGTCGTCAGTCTATAAAGTCCAGTACCTTCCAGAGTAAACCATCTCACTCGGATTCACTTAAACAATTCAAATACATGAATGTGAAGGGGGTGCAATCATCCGATGCATACATAAAACCAACAACTGAAGCCAAACTGAATTTCTCAGGAAGGAAGTTGATAATGGCACGCAATTTTTAAAATACGGTGAAATCATTAATAACCCAGCTCTGCCTTTTGTCCCCTCCCAGTACTTTAAGAAGTGGTGAAGAGTGCCGTCAGAGCATTTTGGTGTGATGCCCCTTGCACACGGAACCTGTTCTAACACATTCTTGTGGTGTCCAGTATAGGAATTCAACCCCAGTAGAGATTAGCTCAAGTATTAATATTTTAAATCCTGGGAACCCCCTTTGGGCTTTTGCCAAAAGAGTTTTTAAATGGGAATCTCTGCCCAATGCGCCCCCTCCCTGAACCGAGCCCTTGAACAGCAACGAAATAGAAAATTCTCAAAGGACAGCGGCTGTGCCTGAGCTGGCACCCCTGGGACAGGGGAGGGATAAAACTAACAGGGAGCACCCCTGTCTTTGTAGATGCGAGGCAGAAGTGAGTAATGAGAATGCCACAGAGGTAGAAAGGGGGAAGAGGCAGAAAATTCGGGCCCCTTCCAGCAGAGAGATGACGAGGAAAGGCAGAGCGCCTGGTCAAGGGGGGCCGTCCCAACAAGGGGAGGGAGTGGACTAGGCCGGAGGGAGAGGGGGGTAAAGCAACGACGCACAAACAGCCTGGAGGTGGGGATCACGGTGACCCTGCACCCAGAGCCAGCTCCAGGCCACGCCGCCTGTTTGCGGGCAACTTTAATGGGGAGGATGGTCCTGGTGAGCGGAGCCGCGGCCCCACGCAGCGCGGCGGCCCCAGCGCGGGGCCCAGTCTGGGGCGATCCCCCAGCAGGGGAGGCCGGTGCTGGCCGCTACAGGAGAGTGGCGGGCCGGGCTGGCACGGGGACGCTGGGAGCGACCGGTGCCGCAGAGAGGGGGCCGATGGCATTTGGGCCCCCCAGCGCCTGAGCCCTCGCGGGGGAGGGGCCGCTTCCAAGGTCTCCGAACCCCGTCGGACTCGCCCCATCCCCCCAGAACAGGCCATCCGAGCTCAGCTGTCCCTCCAGACGGGGACCCCTCCATTTCCCCCGGGCCCTGCCTCCCCGCCCCCACGCCACTGCCCCCAGCCTGACGCACCTCGCGAGTACAGGGACTTGGGCGATTCCAGGTCTAGGTCCGCGCTGAGCAATGAGATGAAGTCCGAGGGCATCGCAGCTCAACCCAGCCCGGCCCGAGGGCAGCGGGAGGGGGGGGCGGCGGTGGCGGCGGCACTCCTCTCCGAGACCGCGGGCACCGAACCGGGGGCGGCAGGCGAGGGTGAGGGTGGCTGCCGCTGCCTCCTCCTCCAGGGCAGTGACTCCCACCAGACGAAGACCAAAGCGGCGGGGTGGAGGGGAAACTCCGCAGGGACTGAATCCTGGCGAGCCAGGAGGGGGGTTCAGGGCGGGGAAAGGGCGGGTGAAGAGCCAACGGGTCTGTTTGGAGCTTCTCCTGAGAGAAAACTGACGGTCGCCGCCACCGCCGCTGCTGACAGGAATCTGAGCTCCGCCTCCCACCGCGCACTGCGCAGGCGTGGAGGGGGCGCCCCAAAGAGGGGAAGAGCCGGATGGCCACCGGAGGGCGGGAAGGCGCGCCGTGGAACAGCATCAACAGCGGCTTTGCTTCCTGCCGTCGCGTCTCAGCCAGGACTGCTGCGAATCCGTCCGGCAGGCTGGGAGGGAGGGAGGCGGGAGGTGTCCGCGTCTGGGGTCCTGGGGAAGGAAAATGTATTTGCACTGACCTGATGGCGAGCCTGAGGTGGCTCTCGCATGGCCGAGCTGAGCGCTAGAGACAGACCTGAGGATCTGAGATATCTGCGCGAAGAGGAAAAGGACCTCAGGGCCGGCGCCGCCGGCGGGTGGATTGGAGTCTCGTAGGGGGATAGAGTCTCGTTGCTTGGACAGCCACCAGCCCTTTGGGGTTTTCAAAGCAATGTCTAAATTGAGTTGGCCAAAGGACTGTCAAGTTCATTTCTTAATTAGGAAGTGACATTCCATATTCTAGAAACCTTGAGTTATTGGTTGTTTTTAATTAAAGTATCTTCTCTCCTTTCTCCTCCCCTTGCCCTTCCCCCACTCCACCCCAGCAACGTCCTTTAGAGGGTGAAAATTAAAAAAAAAAAAAAAATCTGACTGTTCTGGGGTGGCCCGATTTATTCAGAGTGGGAGATGGAGGACAAAAATGGGATCATATGAATCCACCTGGCTCTTCTGAATGAAAAAAAAGGGGGAAAAAAACCTAAACATCACTCTTTTCCAAGCACTTCTTCATTTTTTACTTTTGGACTAGGCAAGGATGGAGGAAGAACACCTTTAATTGATTATTTGCCATTCTATTCTGTTCATGGGGCCAAAAGTTTCCATTGCAAAAACTGAAAATCCTCACCTACACCGCAGACTGTTTCCTGAGTCTAATAAGACTTCTGAGAAATTTTAATCAAGCTATTAGCATACCAACTGGAGTGCAGGGTATGCACATTGGGAAATAATTTTAATCTTATGTAGAATATTGATGCCAGCAGCCACCTGGGATTTAAGATAGTTGAGTTGGTTTTGATTTTATATTATCTACAAAGATAGTTACAAATCATAAAAAAAAATCTGTTGTAATACACACAGACACAGATTGATTGGTTGATTGAGAGAGCCTTTTCCCCAGCAATTCAGGCACTTCATCTGGTCTTGCTGTGCTGGGGATGGGGGAGAAACTCAGCAAAGAAGCCCTGGTGTAAGGACCTTCACAAAGCTTTACCTACAGACCTAGAATTTAAACTTGTGTCTTCACAGTCTACCTGTCTTTCTATCTGAACATCTGACTGAGGTTGCCCAATTATCTTCACTGCATTCTATGTAGTAATTAGTCAACCCTGTCAACATTTTCTTACTGTCAGAGGTAAGAAAGCTTTTTTAAGCCACCCAAGATGGCAAAACAGAACAGGAAGCTACCTTCAAATATCTATGCCCATGGTATGCTGCTGTAATAAAACCCGAGGTAATTCCCTTCATAATGGTCAGAGACCCAATTATTTGAGACAGAAAGACTTAAATCTCACATTGCCCAACTGGCCAAGGCTTTTGAATCCAAGTAGGAGTCACACCTCTTAGAGACCTACCCCCTCTGTGAGTCAATACATAATGCCAGGAGAGGAAATTGCTAGGCAGAACCCCAATACTAAGAAAAGTTAGGTGAACCACTCTGAGCATGTCCCTTTTCCCCACACCTGTGTAATCATTTAACAAATTTAGGATATAGGAAATCCCTAGATACTCTCCTGACCCTAATTAAGTAGTCATGAATTGGCAAAATATCTTTCTCCTCTTTTTTTCCCTACTACAACTGTTTTACTGTATATGTTCATGAGATTTCCCCTACTTAGCTAAGAGGAAAGTGAAGAGGGATCTCCCAAAGTGTGACTTGACATGGACTATGAATTCTCCTAGACTATGATTCTCTGGGTTCAGGCCCCACCCCATCAGCTCTTGTAACAAGCAGTGATCATCTCTAAATGGATATTTGAAAACTCAGTGATTCCCCCTCTCCATGTCCTTTTACAGTGATCCATTTTTTCAAAAACTGCTGGGATGGATAGTTTTTATGGCCATGTTCTGCAACAGCATAAAAACCTAGATTTTCATTTTGTCCTTAAAACTTCAGTGACTAAAAGCACAAATTAATTAGTAAACAATGTTTGCTCAGCTCTTATCACAAAATGTGATATGATCTACATGATATTCAAGGTTATTAAAAATAACTATCTGATCATTTTATCTTTAGTAAATTACATTCTAACCCTAGTTCCAATGTTATTTCCCTCTATAGTCATTAATGTCTCAGTTACTTTCCCTTTTACCTGATATTTGAAATAGTCTCATGTTATATTTTATTTTTATTTTTTTAAAGAAATGTTTTCTTTTTTATTTAATCTTCATTCTGTATCATCTTAGTTAAGGAATTCTTTTTTTAAAAGATTTTATTTATTTATTTATTTATTTATTTATTTATTTATTTATTTATTTATAGAGAGAAGGGAAGGGAGGGAGAAAGAAGGAGAGAAACATTGATGTGTGGTTGCCTCCTATTCATACCCCACTGGGAACCTGGCCTGCAACCCAAGCATGTGCCCCAACTGGGAATTGAACTGTCAACCCCTTGATTTGCAGGCCCACACTCAATCCACTGAGCTACACCTGCCAGGGCTCATACTGTATTTTAAAAACTACCCCGTTCCCCAAACATATGTCTTCATAAAACTTTCTCTGTGCACAATAAAAAGTAACACTTTCAGCCCTAAAATTTGGAAATTTCCTCTCATTGGAAATTACAATAGAATTATGAAACGATATAAAGCAAACTCAGTAGTCTGTAGAATTTCTTTATATTACTTCCCAGTCATCATATTACAATCCTGGAGTTACTTGATTAAAATTTCACAAGAACCCAGAATTTAGCCACAAGGTTGTGTAGATTACACAACAGATTGGCAGTTTTTATATTGGTGGTGTGTTCTTTAAGCCCTCCTGGACCTGTTTAGGCACTTAGTGAATTGTGCGGCTCGATCCACTATAAATGAAAGAGGTTCAAATATCAACCACTGAAAAGGAATTAAATAAACTTGTACAGAACAGAGGAATGTGTTGTCACAAGATCTACAGAATCTTTGTCATTGTAATACAGTTAAGGCTATTAAAATAATTTTAGTCACATGCATATTGTAAAGAACCTACTAAACAAACACAAAATCTGAAAGGAAAATTTCCAGAGAGATTCAAATCATGGACAAAAAAAATGTGCAGACTGCAAATTATCTTTGCCCCACCTTGGGAGCACTCAATAATAATGGAGATTCGATAGTGGTGGGAAATTGCAGTGACTGAATTTGTGTTGAAATTATAACCAAAGTCTTATGTGATTGTGTGTCAGTTTTTATCCTTAGAAATGTTCTAGCAAATATTTCTGAAGGAGAAATTAGTTTCGATAGTTTTGCCAACGGGTTTAGAACATTCTCACTCCCTATGTCTGTCAAAGGGCCTTAATCTGATCATCAGGCGCCTCATTCATTTTGATGAAGTACTCCTGTTTTTATAACTTGGTCTGAATCAGAGTTCTCATCTGAAGTCTTCTAGAGACCAGTTCTGTCTCTCAAGATCTAGAATAATTCCAAGTCCTGAGATAGCATGCAATCAGCTTGAATCTGGAGCACTTAGCAGTGAGAAAGGAGGTGAATACCTGAGAAGCTCAAAGGGTGGATTAGGGAGGAGAAATTTTAATGAGAAAATAGAAATCCCTAAACCCATTAAACCAAGAAAGGAAGGAGGATGTCTCTAGGTCATCCCAACAGTAGGCAGTTTAGGCTTAGGTAAACTGTATGTAAGTCCTTATTCACACTGGCCTTGATATCCACGCCCTTAGGTTTGTAAGATGCTCTTTCCACATCTAATCATAATATTTATTGAGTCTAGTAGCCCCACCTCAGCTGTGACATTAGTTTAACCAAGAATATGAATGAGGAATTATTTTACAATTTCTTATTACCCTCTCTCTTAATTCAGGGAATTTTAACCTGAGGTCTGTAGGTTTCCAAACATGTACACAAATTCTTGCAAACTTCAACCTACATGCATCTTTTCCCTTGGAATGAATGTCTTTAACTCATAAGATTTCTGTGGGAAAAAAGATACATAACCCAATTCTACATGAAGCAAATCCATTCTTCCCTCTTTCCACAAATGGGCTCTAGAAACTACAGTAGATGCAGGAAATATAAAGAAATCACAAATATGAGTATTAAGATGTCAACTCTCAGCCTGACAGAGGAAATAACCTGTAAGCAAACACACAGATTGTGAAAGGTTTTATGCTAGAGTTCTGTACAGGTATCTAGAAGTAAATTATCCTTTTGCTTTCTTAGTGGGCTGACAGAGGGGAAGAGGAAGGAATGTCATTCAACACACGTCACTCTTTCTTCTTCATCCACTGTCCCCACAGCTGATTTCTCTTCACTGCAAACACAATGTCCTACAGTGACTAAAAGAGGTTAGACAGTTGCAGCGCAAAGTCCTGACATACAAATATTTACATTGTGATGCATCACAGCTATTATGTGTTGATACAAATATCCTAAGAAATACCTGAGCTTCATTGGACTTTGGCAGTGGATGGTCAAAGAAACACGGAGTGTCCTTTTTTCAGCTATGCTGAGGATTATGGCTAAATACTTTGGTTAAGTATGCAATGATAAAAAATAGTTGAATTGGTCATCCACAACTAAGCCCCAGAATTTAAGGGCTAAATTGAAGTTATTGGATAAACTAGGCTGACGTTAGAAATAACATATTCCACCTGAGAAGCTTTTGTTTCAGCTCCAAACAGGGAAGAGGCATGCAAGGGATCTGCCCCCAGGCGTTAAAATCTAATTCTAAAACACGAGGCTTAAAGAGAACACACGTGTATATTTACTCATTCAGTTTCTCTATCTGAAGAAATTCAGATATTTGTATCCTTCAAAGTCTAGTTCAGATAATGTTTCATCTGTGAATTCATCCTAGACCTTTCC